CTTGTCTCGTGTTGCTATGTATTTTTGTAATACTATTTGGTCTCGACGTTTTCAATTATTTATAAGAAGTCCGCAAGTGTAGACTCCGGCTTCAAAAGATAAGATCAAAAATCAGTGTGGTACAACATGCTTTACAATTATTATTTTATTTAGATATTTCCCAATTAATTAGTACCATTTCTCCCTGTTTTGATTTTTGTATGGCATATAACAAAATTCTATTCAAGGACATTATATTTAGATACCGTTAAGGAGTTGTTTTTCTATCCTTCTGTGTTTAGCAGATTGATCAGACGCCTTCGCTCGCAACTCAATTATTCAAACTCCATTAAATTGTGGCCTTTTTGCCCTGAGATGCAATAATATTCCTCATATTGAACGTAATCTTGCATGTTGCTATATGTTTTTTTTTTAAAAAATATATTGAATATAGAATGTAACATGTCGGTCCATGCTTCGTTTTTCATTTTTTTTTTTTTTTTTTGGGTCCATGCTTCGTTTTTCATTTCTAATTAATCTCATCGGGGAAAATGTCTCTAGAAAAAATTATATTTGATTTTGTCTTCATCCCATTCTCAGCTGAACACCCTGCAAACCCAGCAGGCAGGTAAGGCAGCGCGGGGCTGACAGGCATGCAACTCCAAGGCTCGAACCCGTGACAGCAGAAAGTGCAAGGCGCCATTCCACCGCTGGGTCGTTGTCTTGGGTGCCATTTCTAATTAATCTCATTGGGGAAAATGTCTCTAGAAAAAATTATATTTGATTTTTTTTCTAATTTATTAGGAGGTCCATTAATTAAAAAAAAAACTATATAGAGAAAAAATGATGATACAGCCCTCCAGGAATTATTGAGCAGGAGGGAAAAGGGCCGGCTGTACATTTCTATCCATTTGTACTCCACTGAATTGTGTTTCGTGAAGATTTAAAAATAATTTTTTAAATGTTTTTAAATTTTTCTATATACTAAAGTAAAAAAATTATTTTAAAAAATAAAAAAAAAATTATTTAAGAAAAATATTTGAAAATCAATAACTGCTTCCAAAAACCTCCATTACAGTGGTTATTAAGATAGATGTATAGAGTTGCTAATTGAAGAAAGCAATAAACAGAGAAAAGATCAATTCAACTGAGGCTTTAAACAATCTGTTTGGAAGAAAATAGAAGGTTTGGAAAGCAAAGCAAGCTTCTAACTCGAAAGTCGACGATGCTTTGCGTACAAAAATGTTTATTTCGTAGAAGCATTTTCGCGTGGTATCCAGCCTTTTGCATCTCTCCAGTTTCATGTGGAAAATTGTGGAGAGGTTGCATAATTAACAATCATGGCCTAGTCTATGCCCAACGCTGTCCTGCAACTTCTTAGCTTCCGTTAGCGGAAATTAAATGCCAATTGGCTGGCTGTTAGTTCAAATCATGTAGAAAAAACTAAGAACAAACAACTGTGTAGGAGAGATCATACTATTTGCTTTGAACTTAACTGAGTTGGAGTTCGGGTAATTTTTCAAATTATTTTTTTATTTAAAATAAATTAAAATAATATTTTTTATTTTTAATATTAATATATCAAAACGATGGAAAAAAATAAAAATAAATATGTTTTTAATTTTAACGAACCTCTAGCGTGGAAAGCGGAACATATTGGATCTCTTTGATTAAAAGTCGAAAATGTGTATGATTAACACTCTTATTGTCTTGCAATGAAATCATTATACGACTGAACATGATGTTTTTTTTACCAATCAATGTTTCAATTGTTTTTTAATCTTGATCTATTAATCAATAACATTTAGAAAAAATATACTAGCATACAACATTATGTTTGCCGTAACTTTGACTTTAATGGGATATATAATTGATTATGAAAAATAAATAAGAGGATCACAACAAACTATACACCACCCAACCATGGGATCTCCATCTAATATTATAGTAAATTTAGAAGAGAGCCTCAATTTTAATTTTATGATCTTCAATTCCAATTCTATGATACCAATTTGATTGCTTAGGTTGGTCGGCCCAAAGCTACTACACAAATAAAAAAATTAAAATCAAATTTATTTACTAATTGATGCGAGCGAGAAACAAAAACAATTTCCATGTATTTACTTTCAGATGTATTCTTTAAACAGTAATTATTTTTAATTATTTATGTTAAGACAGAAAAGAAAAGCTATGGTTATGTTGAGAGTAAAGAGGTGATCTTATAATGAAGAAGTGAAATACAATCATTAAATTTAAATGATTTTTACATTTGGAATTAAATAAGAATGAATCGATGAAGAAAAATAATAACTTAGAAAGTATTAACAATCATGATGTATAGCACATATTTAAATGTGTTTTAACAAAAGTTTTGTTTGAGCTATTCTACTTTATTTAAGAAAAAACCAGATTGATTAAATTTATTTATCGTCATGGGCTTGGGAGATTTTCGATTATCGGGCTTTAAAAGGCTTCCCATATCTTCACCTAGCTAAATTCTAGTAGCTTTGAAAATTTAGCAGGCAGTTATTGGTGGAGCTGGCATTCTTCTTTACGAGCCAAGGCACCAGTCCCAGTCCCGCCCATTTGTGCTTCTCTCCGGCCCTTCTTCCTGGTAATCTCTCATCATACCCCAATTTCTGCAGCGGCGAAAGGTCCTTACCGCATTAGAAGCTGAGGATGATCGCAAGTGGTCTTCCTATGCAACCGTAGCATGATAGAAAGCAACCCTCCTCTTCTCTCTCAGGTGAAGACTTGATATTCTCTCCTTCGTAGGAAAAGAAATATTACTGTTTCTTTGTTTTCCCGGTGTGCTATTAGAAGCTGAGGATGATCGCAAAGTACTCATTAGTTCATTAGGGTCTAAGGGGATCATGGAGGATGAGGAGATGGACAATGATACTGTTGTTAATGCTAGTATGTAGAAATTATTCTCTGCTAAGTGATGTCATATATATACAAGGTTGTTAAAATTATGATTTAACTTATAAAATCATATAATTTTAGAATTTAATAAATATTTAACATGTCAAATCATCTTAAAAAATTAAAAATGGGTGAAATCAAGTAAAATTATTAAAATGAAATGAAATCATGTAAAAACACGATTTTAAGATCGTTTTAACAATTTCAGCAAAAAACATATACTGTACTATAATATTGCAATATATGTTTTTTTCAAACCAATAATGGTATGTCAGTTGTCACTCATCCATGTTTTACCCTAAATTCTTTATCTTTGAAGAGAAAATCTTTGAAATCGATGACTCACGCTTTACAGCTTCCTCTCATCAACAACAGTAAGCAACAACGATGTCGCTCTCCTTCCTCCATGTACCTAGCCCTCCCTTTGCTCTTCCATTAGTTTTTCTTTTTATCGTGGAGTGATATTAAATGCTCGCATCTTCCACTCAAGAAAGAAAGGAACCGTTACTTTCAAGAGAGAGAAAACAAACAAGCTTTCAGGGACATCGCAGTATCAGTATTACTATCTTAGGATAAAGCAATCATAACTGATTCTACCTCCATTTCTTTGATATCTAATTTCTCCATTGTAAATTCCTCTCCTCGGCCTCTCTATAAAATAACAATAGCAATTCATAGACATAATGCATCGCTGTTTGATCTTATTTTCTTTCTGATTTGTTTGTTGTTATGTTTTCTTTTCCTTTTTGGTGGATTAGGTTTAGTTGTACTTGGAATAAGGGGGAAATGAGGCTGATTTCAGGAATATTTTTGAAGATCATCTTTGGAATCGGGTTGATGACTGGATAGAAACACATGATACATTACCTAAACACCAAAAGAGTTGCTAAGGTTCATTAATTTTGATTGAGATACATGACGTTTTCATTTCTCTCTTTTTATTATTTGTTCTGTAAAAGTTGCTTGAAAATACTGTGAGGTGCATTGAATTTGAAAAGTTAAATGTGAACTCGAATTTCTGTCTATAGATAGTTGATATAAAACTTCTCGGGTCACTTAACAGAGATGATATGAAGAGAATACATGGTGATAATTTTCTTGACTGGATATATTTTTTTATAATTTTGAATAGGTCTATAATCTTGTCTAATTAGGTAGTCTTGTACTTTAAATTGAGTTTGAATTCTAATTTCATGTTGTGTTGTTACTTTGAAACTTATGATATAATTTTGTGAAGCTAAAGTCCAACATATCATATATCAAAAAATAATCACCTTCTGCATTGGGTTTTGGTTTTTTTTTTTGATTTACATGGAGTGTCCGGGCCAGCTTGCGCGCACCACGACTAATTCCTATGACTCATTGAATATCCTGCAAACCCAGTAGGCATGTAAAGCACCGCGGGGGTGACAGGCGTGCATGCCAGGGCTCGAACTCAGGTACAGTAAAAAAAGACAAGCCCCTTTTACCGCTAGGCCAAGTACTGAAATGCCACCTTCTGCATTGTTGCATGGTTAAGATGTAATTCACTACTAATTCGTACTCATGGTTAAGATGTAGTTCACTACTAATTCGCACTCTAGTTGCATCTTGCAGGTGAAATGGCTAAACAAGCAATTGGGTAAATTATGGTTTTTTGTTGTAGAAGTAAGATTCTTGTTTTTTTTATTTTTATTATATTTTTTTGGTTTAAAATTAGGTGTAATTGGAAAAAATTTTATGTATACTAGTTCATATGTAGGCAAAAAAATAATAAAAAAATCCATATATATTGATAAGAATAACAAGA